CATTCTGTGAGACCCTTTAATCTTATTCATGTCTAAATTTAGGGCCCAAAATAACGTCTCAGGCTCATACCGAAGGAAATATGATCAGGATGCCTGTCCTAATATTTCTCTTTTTTGTCTTCTTTTCTTTTATCTATTTTCCTCTCTCCCCTCCCCCTCTTCTTTGCAGATTAGAATTCATTAGCAATCAAAGAGCCTCCAGAGAGCACTGGCTCTTAATTACCCACTCATTTGCATTTTTGCATATTAATGACTGCAGAGTTTTGGTGTGGCTTTTTTGCCGCAATGGTTTAAAGGCACCTCAGGCTGGTTCTCTGGGGACTAAGCGATGCCCGTAGGCCATGTTTCAGGCCTGTAGTCTCTAACAGCACAGTGTGGGTGGACTGCAGTTAGGTGCACTTACGACACAGGGGTTAAGGGCCAAGGTCCCTAATCAACATATGAAAGAAAGATCTGTCTTCAGCGTCAGCAAATTATTATCATATGGAATTGTTAGCAACAGATCCTGGCTCAGACACACTGCCGCAAGAGTGTTTCTTTCTGTAGTATGACATGATTATGCTGCTTGTTGTTTAAGATCATTCCAAATTTTTATGTTTTATGATTATTTTATAAGATCATATTTTAACCGTTTCAAATTGTAGCCTGTCATTGAGGATAATTAAGATACATTCTTCTCTGTTGAAAAAAACCTATCCTGGTGTTCATTGTTAAAAAGGCAGCAGGAGTCCTTACAGCTTCTGTCATTGCATGAAATCTCTTTCATACTCTTTCTCACAGACACACAGACACACTTTAATACCATAAGGAGAGAATAAGGGGGCCAAGCACTTTTAAAGGCCCTCCATAGACAGTTTTGTAGTGAACTGCTAACTCAGTCTATTTGTAAAAACATTAATGAAACCCAATAGCTGCTCTGTTCTACTTAATTATTAATTTCCACTCAATTCCCTGGTTCCTTACAGCTCGTTTTATGAAACAGAAAAGAACAGTAGAGGTGAGACCTTGAAAATGATCTAAAAATGTCATTATTCCCAAACTAAGGTAAAATAGTGCAATAGAATACATTAGTTATATAAAGCCTCACAATACACGACTGTATGTACAAAGCTACACCCTATTTACTGCATAGTACACTATTTGGGACATTTTGTAGCATTAATATCCACCCTGTGTCCAAGCCCCTGCTTCTAATTTCCTACAAACCGCATCCTCTCTTTGAAAAATGATCTGGGATCATTATTCCTGCTTGGGACACTCTCAGAAAAAGGGTACTAAACTGTACTTTTTCTTGTCACTGGAGTGGTACCCTCAAGAATGCATCTTTTGTACCTTTGGTATTTGCCTTAATCCTAGAAAGGTGCATGCAGTGTACCTTTAAAGCAGTGGTGTCAGATGGGTCATACTAAAAAAAAAAAAAATCAGTTTAGTAGATTAACAGCTTCTCTTAAATGTGTTAATTTATCTGCAAAGGTACATTCTCAATGCACATGCAGACTGAACGTAGTATACCTACAACCAATCCCCCCACCCCATCCCCTTGAAATTTTCCATGTTTTGTAGTATTATGGCCTTAACTAAGATGAAATACAAAATGTACTTAGCTGGAAAATGGACCTGTCTTGGTTTATGTCGATTTTTTTTAGCTTGCTAAAGAAGAATTGTTTATCATTAACACATTTTGTCAGTAGCTGAGTTTATGGCCGTGAGATTATTGCTCTATTTTGCCTCCTAGTGGAATAACAGTCACTATCTCCTTTTTTAATCTTCCCATGCACTTACCGTCCTGACCATTTTAATTTAGAACACGGATACTAAATTCATTTGGTGGCCGGATCACACACTCTGTCTGGTATGTGTTCCAACCCTACTTTAAAACTTTATACTAAAAACTAATTATGGTCCATTTATGTCTCCCTAAAATATTTTTAAAGGTGGACTATATTCACGTTTCCAGGTGAAAGACATACATTAAAGGTACAAAAGATATTTGAAGGTACATTTCGGTATTTTTAATTTATTTATTTTCTTTTAACTGAGAGTGTCCTTGATATGGATACTAACCTTGTGGGGTTTCAGGACTGCACTGGACATTCTTCACTGTGCTTTCATTTGTGGCTACAAAAGGACAAAACTCCCCAAAATAGTGCACTATGTAGAGAATAGGGTGTTATTCATAGAGACCGTGTACTCATGGAATTCCCACAATGCTTTGCGATAGGTTGGTGTCCAAATTATGTACGATAGGTTGTACAAAACACCCATGATGTACTTTCTGTAGGGAACAGGGAGTAGAGCACTGTTTTGAACACGGGGTAAGAGTTACTGGAACATTCGGACACTTTCGGGGAAAAATATCACTGTAAATCCACACTTTGTTGGGATAGTAATAAACATTTAGACAGAACATTAAATAGTAATGGATATATTATTATCATTATTATTATTATTATTTAAGGAATTTAATCCCCCCTTGTAGTTCCCAGTAAAAACCCCACTTTCCAGTGCCGTTTGCTAAGTTTGCCATTTTGTTAGCAAAAAAAAATTAGCAAAGAGGACCAGAAACGTTTCAGAGAAATGCTGTAGCACTTTATCACCCCCATCTGGTAAGTCAGATTTGCCTACAGCACATGATATAATTAATGGAGTACGAAACCCCCCCAAAATAATTTGGTTTTATTTAAAAATACACTTTTTGTTGTTCGTTGGTTTGATTAGCTAAGTCATGCTAGTTCTGGTCCCCAACATTCTGAGATGAGGGACTAACCTTTCAGCGCTGAACTCTGTATAATTTAACCATTTGGATATGTTACATGACTGAAAACGTTGTTAGGCCATTATATACGAAAATGGTGGATTTGAGACACTTTCAATCTAATTCAGGTCCGGCTAATTTCTGCTAAGATCGGAGGTTAAACATACTCAGGGGTCCATGATTTTATTTTATTTTATTATTATTATTTTTTAGTTACAGTTGTGGAAACCAAACCACCATTATCAAAGTTACATTTAGTTCTTATAGATATTAGCCAATTTGGCAGTACCTTGGTCACACTTGTCATGGAACTAAATGGGTTTAATCTAAACCTTAATAACTGTAAAACAGGTAGGCCTAAAAATAATGTCAACTTATAAAAACTCCAATAAATGTTCAGAATATTACTGTACACACTAAAATGTGTGTGTGTAATATTTGAATTGTTCATAAAATATTGTTGGCTTAAGGAGATCGTGGTGATTATTTATTTATTTATTTATTTATTAAGAAAACAGCTTCCTGGCTGCAACCCCTGAGTCAGAGGTCATCTGGTGTAGGCATATTTCTCTATCGCTTGTTTAGAAAATATAGCGGATTTTCCAGTTCATTCCAAGAATTTAGGAGACCTACTTTGAGAGACCTAACTGGGTCTTAATTCGATGGTTTGGCGCCATCATATGGCAGAAAAAGTGCATTGGGTATCTAACTGTGTTCTTACTTTCCATCTTCATCTTCAGTCTTCTCTAACTGCTCTATCCTGGTCAGGGTTGTGGTGGATCTGTAGCCTATCCTGGGAAACACTGGGCGAGAGGCAGGAATACACCCTGAATGGGACGCCAGTCCATCGCAGTGCACCACACACACACACATACACTATATGGCTAAAGGTTTGTGTACACCTGACTATCTCACCTGTCACTCATACTGTCTCCTCCAAAAGTATTGGAGCAACAAGCCCGATTCTTTTATTTTGCTATACATTGAAGACATTTGGGTTTGAGATCAAAAGATGAATATGAGATGATAGATCAGTATTTCAGCTTTCATTTCCTGATATTTACATCTAGATGTGTTAAACAGCTTAGAACATGGCACCTTTTGTTTGAACCCATTTTTCAAGTTATCAGAAATATTGGGCAGTCTATGAAACATGTGACTGAGAAGTGATTCTTGTTGCCCAGGTGTGCCATCTTAGAGCGATTGTTTAAACAATTAATAGCTCTGAATGTCTACTCTTGGTTTCACCTGTGAAGACTGAATTTGTTGTTAAAATTGATAAACCAATATAAAGACCAGAAAGCTGTATATGGGAGAAAAGCAGGCCATCTTGAAGCTGAAAAAGAGGGAAAATCAATCAGAGCCATTGCACAAGCATTGGGAATAGCCAATACAACAATTTGGAATGTCCAAATCAGTCAGCAGCATCACCAACAACCTCCACAGGGCAGGGATGAAAGTATCACAATCCACCCATAAAAGAAGACTTTGAGAGCAGAAATATAGAGGACATACCACAAGGTGCAAACCACTCATCAGCAGTAAGAACCGGAAGGCCAGATTGGAATACGCAAAGAAATACAGAGATGAGCCACAAAAGTTCTGGAGCCAAGTTTAACCTCTACCAAAGTGAGGGAAAGGCCAAAGTGTGGTGAAAGAAAGGATCTGCTCATAATCCAAAACATATGAGCTCATGGGTGAAGAAGAGTGGAGGTGGTGTCATGGCTTGGGCTTGCAAGGCTTCTTCTGGAATGGGCTCACTAATCTTCATTGATGATGCAACTCATGATGGTAGCAGCAGAATGAATTCAGAAGTCTACAGAAACATTCTTTCTGCCAATTTACAGAGAAATGCATCCAATCTAATTGGGAGGACCGTCATCATGCAGAAAGACAATGACACAAAACACACTGTCAACACAACAATGGTCTTCATCGGGGGAAAAATTTAGAAGGTTTTAGACTGGCCAAGTCAATCACCAGACCTTAACCCAATTGAGCATGCATTTCACCACTTGAAGAGGAGACTGAAGGAAGAAACCCCCAAAACAAAGAACAAGTGAAAAAAAGCTACAGTACAAACCTGGAAAAGCATCACAAAAGAAGAATGCAACAGTTTGGTGATGTCAGTGGGGCACTGGCTTGATGCAGTTATTGCAAGCAAAGGATATGCATCCAAATATTGTTATTTACTTTTATTTACTTTAAGACCTTCTGTTCCTATATGTTTGTTCACCATTTCAGGGCAGTGGTGGCTCAGTGGTTAAGGCTTTGGGTTGCTGATCAGAAGGTGGGGGGTTCATGCCCTAGCACTGCCAAGCTGCCACTGTTGGGCCTTTGAGCAGGGCCTTTGAGCAAGGCCCTTAACCCTCTCTGCAACCATATTATAGCTGACCCTGTGCTCTGACCCCAGCTTCCTAACTAAGTGGGATATGGAAAAAAAATAATAATAATTTTACTGTGTCGGAACGTATATGTGACAGACAAAGGCTTCTCGGGTAGTCTGCTACCATGTTCTATGTAAATATCAAGAAGTGAAACCTGAAATTGTGGTCTATCGTCTCATATTCATCTTTTGATCTCAAACCCAAATGTCTTCAGCGTATAGCAAAAAGAAAAGAATTGGCCTTGCTGTCCCAATACTGTCAGGGGGACTGTATGTGGTTTTTGAACATCCCATTCCAGATTTAGTCCCCCTTTGCTGTTATAATAACCTCCACTCGTCTGTGAGGGCTTTTCATTAGATCTTGGAGCATGGCTGTGGGGATTTACCCGTTCAGCCACAAGACTGAGGTTGGGCGAGGAGGCCTGGGATGTAATTGGCGTACTAGTTCATCCCGAGAGGTTTGTAGTGGGGTTGAGGTCAGGGCTTTGTGCAGGCCTGTCGAGTTCTTCCACTCCAACCCTTGGCAGACCATGTCTTCATGGAGCTTGCTTTATGCACAGGGGCACTGTCGTACTGGAACACGTGAGGGCTCCTTAGTTCCAGTGAAGAAAAATTGTAATGCTACAGCTTACAAAGACATTCTATACAATTGTGTGCTTCCAAATTTGTGGCAATAGTTTGGGGAAAACCTACATATGGGTGTGATGGTCAGGTGTCCACATACCTTTGACCATATAGTGTAATTCAAACCTGGTGCAATTTAGCATAGCCAGTCCACTTATCAGCATGTTTTTGGGATGTGGAAGGAAACCAGAGGACCCAGAGGAAACACACACAGGCATGTCCTCATGTCATCTCAGGGAATTTTTCCTTGCCACTGTTGTCTCTGGCTTGCTCATTAGGGATTTAAATGTAAATCCATATCCATATTTCTGTAAAGCTGCTATTGTGATAATGTCCATTGTTAAGAGTGCTATTTAAATAAAATTGAATTGAGAACATGCAAAAAGCACAGACAGTAACCCAAGCGCAGGATCGAATCAGGGACCCTGGAACCACACCACGATATCACTTCTTATATTCCAATGTTTACTTTCTAAAATTGTATCATAAATCTGCTTGATTAACGTATTTGACTTTACTGACCTGTAAGCTTACACTCACCGTCCACTTTGTTAGGAACACCTGTACACCTGCACATTCGTGCTGGTATCTACTCAGTCAATCTGTGGCAGCAGCGTAATGCAAAAAAAAAAAATCATGCAGGTCAAGAGCTTCAGTTAATGTTCATATCAAACATCAGAATGGGGAAAAAGTGTGATCTCTGTGACTTTGATCGTGGTATGGATGTTGGTACCAGATGGGCTGGTACGAGTATTTCATAAAATGCTGATCGCCTGAGATTTTCATACAAAACAGTCTCTAGAGTTTACACAGAATGGTGCAAAAAACATAAAAACATCCTGTGAGCAGAGGGTCTGCAGGCTGAAACACCTTGTTGATGAGAGAGATCAGAGGAGAATGACCAGACTGGTTTGAGCTGACAGGAAGTCTACAGTAACTCAGATAATCACTCTTTAAAACTGTGGTGAGCAGAAAAGCATCTCAGAATGCACAACACATCAAACCTTTAGGTGGATGGGCTACAACAGCAGAAGACCACATCAGGTTCTGCTCCTGAATCTGAGGCTATCATGGGCACAGGCTCACCCAATCTGGACAGTTGAAGACTGGAAAAACACCAGATGATTTTTTTTTCCTAATCTTCATCTGTCCAGTTTCGGGGAGTCGGTGCCCATGATAGCCTCAGATTACTGTTCTTGGCTGACAGGAGTGGAACCCAGTGTGGTCTTCTGCTGTTGTAGCTCATCCACCTCAAGGTTTGATGTTTTGTGCACTATATCCTTACTGGCAGCTCAAACCAATCTGGCCATTTTCCTCTGACTTGTCTTATCAACAAGGTGTTTCCACCCACAGAACTGTTGCTCACTCAATATTTTTTTGTTTTTCGCACAATTCTGTATAAACTCTAGAGACTGTCATGTGTGAAATTCCCAGGAGATCAGCAGTTTATGAAGTACTCAAACCAGTCCTTCTGCTACCAACCACCATGCCACGAACAAAGTCACAGAGATGATGTTTGATGTGAACATTAACTGAAGCCCTTGACCTGTATCTGCATGATTTTTTGCAGTGCACTTCTGCCACATGATTGGCTGATTAGATAGCTGCATGAATGTGCAGGTGTACAGGTGTTCCTAATAAAGTGGACAGTGAGTGTATATTTAAACAGCATCTGATAGCAATGATAATGCTATCTCCATAAAATATACTGAGACAGAGAAATCATAAACATTTCTTTTTTTTAATAGAAAGATCTTATTTCTTAAACCAGGACACCAGACATTTTTGGATATATTTCATAAAAATAAACAAACAAAACAAAAATTAAACCCAACAGAATAAAATGGAACCAAAAACTGGAAAAAATGGAATTACATGATTTAGACGATGCACATTTAGTGGTCTCATATACATTACAAATTCTTTTCATCGGCAAAAGTGCAAATTCTCCCAAACTCGCCCATCCCTCCGTAGCTTCAACAGACACTGACAATTTAAAGGAATAGGACTTAATTTAAGCTGAAAAAGGACAGGATCGCTACCGTCCAAGCCTGAGATACTGGGAAATATTCTGCCGCCCCAAAGTTTGCCTAAGTGAACTGTTAGAATGTGCCCTAATGCTCATATCAGGGTTTAAACCAAGATGCTATTGCTGAATTATTGGTTCTATATGTTATGTTTTTCTTGCCTGTATGCATTTTATATCATTATATACACTATATAATCTCTGTAAGGATTTGACAAAAATATTGTATATATTTCTAAGGATATTTTATTTGTCCCTCTAACCACTGAAATTTGTTTCAACAACTGATTGAAATCTACTATAGTGTGCTTGTACAAACTAGCATTAGAGTAGGAAAATAAAGAGAGGTCGTATGTGGCCTCATATGTGCATGGAAGATTGACACTGTTAAAGATGAGTATGTGCAACTAGACCCTGGATGGGTTTGAGGGGACCAAGGCCACCACAGTACCATTCTAAATTGCAGCTGTTTAAGCTGTAAATGTGAATTCTGGAAAGTCCTTTAAACATATTTATGGTCTCATCTTTCCAACCAAAAATGTTGTAGAAAGCACGTCCTTTTTGATGTACTGCTGCTGTTGTTCCTTGCTTTGTTGTGTCTGTCTAAAGATGCATGTTGTTTAGTGGGGCGGCAGTTCAAAAGGACTTCAACCCAAATATTAGCACGTTCAAGTTTTTCTTTCCATGTAGTTTTTTTTTGCATTTAAATAAATCATCATATCCACAATGAGATATAAAAAAAACTAAACACATTAACAAAAGAGAAGAAAACAGCAACAATAACATTAACAGTAAAAACCAATGGAGAAAGCACATAAAAGTGCTTTTTTTTTGTTACAATCGCCAACCTGCAAACAGCATGATGGCTTTGAGCCCACCTTGCTGCCTACCTGCTTACCTCAGTACTGAAGTAAGGCAGAGGGAAAGAAACACATCACTTCTCTTCCCTCAAACCTAACCATGTTTACTCTCCTGCCATCGTTTGTAAATGCGAATTTTGTAGTTACGGAATGCATCCTGGATTTGTTGGTGGCTTCAAAAAAACCAACAAAAAGTCTCTCTCAGACACAAACTACTCTCTCTACTGTGGATATTCTGTGGCCCAGAGACTGGAATGTAGCCAGCTCAAACTGTAAACTCAGGGAAAGATGTTAACCCTGCAGTTTGATGTTTTTGTCTACTAATCTAACTCTTTGATTCTCTTTTACTTGAGATCCTTAGAATGCACACAATAGGCAGAGTAATGAAGGGGACTGTGGGTGCATAGGTCTGTTTGGTACATAAAATCTTAACATGGACAGGAATTGTACAATAAAGCTTTGATTAGATGCAAGGCAAAAACTATGGGGTGGTACCAAACCAATGGTCTGCAGTGTTTTTGAACCTGAGAAGCAGTTGACTTAAAAAATAGATGATTACCCATAATCTCCACAACAGTGACTTGTGTTCTAACACACAATGACACACACACAAGCACACCATGCACTGTTGCTCAGCATCATTTCAATGACTGGTAAAACACAACATCTGAAGCTGTCACACACTTGGGGAGGCATCATTCATTCCTGAACATAACAACACAACAACTACCTGTGTTTGTACAAAAACGCTACTCGCCCTCCCCATTCTGTGCAAACGACTGGTTCCCACACCCACAAAGGACTCCTAGTGCAAAGCGCCTGTAAGCAACAGACAGCAGTCTCTCCATGGATGTTCAGAACTACAACACGAATCTCTCTGTAGCTTGCATATACCTAGTCAAAAAACAACCCTTGGCATGCTGATTTATAGCTCAGATGTGACCATTTTCAACCATAACTACATTTCATTCCATGATTGTTACAGTAATCACTGTCATTGCATGTGTATTTAATGCTTGTCCAGAACCCGACAAATAAATAAAACAAAGACAAATTAATATTTGGATATTATAAGTGACTTTTTTTTTTTTTTAAAGAGAGACACCATCTCAGTGTAGCATCTATCTAAGGAGTCATAAAAGGGAGCTGAGACATCAACCTTCTATGAAGAGGAGTGAAGACCAGAGCTTTTCACTAGGACTGGGCGAAATGACAAAAATATATCACAATACTTGAAGACATTTTTACATATACATTGTGATATTTAGGCTTGGTAACAAAGTGCCAGCAAAACAGTAATGCCGCTTTTAAAAACCTATGTAAAAACATGGCTTCAAATAATGGGTTTATTTAATATCTAGACAAATAATTGACTCGAATTTAACTAAGAAAAAACAGGACAAAAACAATTTAACAACCAG